AAAAACAATGCCACCTAGGTGTGAACCCGGCCTAACGAGTGTCGGTTTTAACCTATTGTATCACTTTTACCTATGATGAAAGAAGCCCATTGCTTCCAGAACTGAATGAGTAATTATTCCGTATAGGAGGGCATAGTCCAAGATTTCAGACGAATAGAGCTGCTAAGAAAGCTTACTCATCTTTCTTTAGTTCACACGTAAACGGCGGTTGTTAGGATACAACACGGGAGATTCTGCCATCCACGCTGTTCAGTGCGCATAGGAGATCAAGCCCCGTGAGGATAAATAAGAAAAATCGAAAGCACGTATGGCCAGTTTCAAGGTGCCTATACACCTTACAACCATCGCAAGACTTTTGTCTTGCGATGGTTGTAAGCGAATTAAAAGCTCGTACGATCTGCCCATCTTGGACAGGCAGATCGTACTTGCTATCATGACTGCAATGAGGGGCGGCTTCCGATGACTGCAAACGGGCAGTGTGCGTGTACGCACACGGGCCCGTTCAGCAGTTGTCGAACAAGCAGGCCACTAACCCGCCGAGAATCGTACCATTCTCTGCGTGTTTTCAAGCCTGCTTGTTCGACAGAAGACGTGCGACCGTACAGTAGAAATGGTTGCACGCCTTCCATACACTTTGCGATTATCGTACGATCGCGGGATTTCCCGCGATTCTCGTACGATAATCGTACAGTGTATGGGCACCTTTACACTTAGAGGAATGCGATGACCTCTAATTGTATGGTGTATGGCCACCTTTACTTTGCACAGACATCACAGAACTCCTTCCAACAATTCCTTAATCTGCCCTTCTCTTTAGAAGGAAACTTTTCTACTGCCTGCAGCAGGGTGATGAGATCATCTCAATCATGGCAAAGTCACTTGACTAGAGCTTAAGGGATGCTTTTTAAAGAAGAACTCCAGGAAAACGTTTTCTTAACCCTTGCAGTGGGGCTGTCCCATGCACTGCCAGGGTAAGGTGCTTGTTTTTGTCTAGGTGCGAAAATAAAGTTATACTCACCCGAAGTCACGAGCTGGCTGTCTTGTCACAGCGCTCCCCCTCCAGCCTGTCTCTTCCTCCACTGCAGCACTGGAATCTTCCTCAGCGTCCTCACATCTATACACATTATATAGAATGTGATGATTTATGGGTCCTCACAGTGCTGCACAGGAGGGGGAAGAGACCCTGGAAGGACCAGTCTAAGAAAAACCAGGTCAGAGCATTGGTGAGTATAACTTTCTTTTAACCTAGACGAACGAGCACTTAACCCTTGCAGTGGGAGGGGAGGGTAGCCCCAAAGCAAGGGTTAATAAAAATGTTTCCTGGAGTTCTTTTATGATAAATGGTGGAACTTTTTGGAAACGTTAGAACACTGCTGATTGTGGAACAGTAAGAAATTAATTATGCAGAACTGTAAGAATATTACAAAAAAGGTCCACTTTCAAGTCAGATGAAAAAACGCGCACCAGTGTATTTGAAGCTCCAAAATACCAACCATTCTGAAATACCCCTTAGTACGCATGTCATGTTTATTTTCAAAGACATTCTTCTTGCTTAAAATCAAACAAGAAACCGCATTTCCCGGTTAGCACAGTGATGGCCGGATTTGTGCACAAGCTGTGTGCTGTAAGCTGTATGACCCTGTGTCAGGCGAGGCACAGGACATCTTATGGTGACCACCAAGAAATACTGGTCGGCAGCCTTCTTCCATCAGTTCAAAGAAAGCCTAGGTAAAGGATCAATGAACAGGAAACAAAAGGAAATGGACCAGTATTACTGCAAAAAGTGAAATGGGCCAATCTACAATCTGTAAATAAATCATAATCTGCTTATTAAAGTTTAAAGTGACACTAAACCTTAAAAATGCATTCAAGTAGTAACAAAAATGTATCCTATTTGTGTATCACTCGGCTGCAGATCCTCAAATCACCTCTGAATTGATGCTGACACTGTCCTTCCTTCTGGAGGGGGGATACTTTTGTTCCCCATGGTCCCTGTTAGAGATGCACAGATACTTTTCGAGTACCAGTGCAGATACTTGGCATTTTCATGAGAACTACCGGGGTTGCAGAGGTTGCAGCTGGGACCTGGCTCTGGCGCTCCACCACTGTCCTGAAATCATTAGTCTGTATTGTTTTAGAAAAACTGTCACATGACCATACACAAAAATGTATCAGTACTCGTACTTGTAAGTACTCGGCAAATACCAGTACTCGTACTCGCAAAACTGGTATCTATGCATCCCTTTATTTATATTTATAAAAACAGAATCATACATTAAAACAGAGATGTACAAATCCCAGGAGCTCCGTGTGCTCCTTACAAATGACAGCGGCCTCCTAATTTTTCTCTAGTCTAGTCTTGGAGCTCAAAAGTATCGGTACATGTACCGAGTACTGTACTTGGTATCTATGCAACCGTAGTCCGTGTGTGTTGTAATGTAGCCACTGCTTCAAGCTCACTCCCGTGATGGACTACAATCTCAATACATTTTAGTAAACTAAAGGTGAGATTGTAGTCCATCACAGGAGTGAGCTTGGAGCTGTGACTACTTTACAACACACACAGGGACCATGGGGAACAAAAGTATTCACCCTCCTGAAGGAAGGACAGTGTCAGCATGAATTCAGAGATGATTTGAGGATCTAAAGCCGAGTGATATACAAATAAGATACATTGTTGTTAATAGTTAAGGTACTTGAATGTATTTTTAAGATTTAATTCCTGAGTTTAGTGTCATTTTAAAGATAGTTCTACTCCAGTATGGTGACTAGTGTTGTGTCTGGGGTCCAGCTTTAAGCAGTCTGGTTTTTTTTCTTTTCATGTTGACCATTATAAGCATCTACAAATGATCATGTGCGTCTTTCTCTTACAATGTCTCCATTGTCTACACAGAAAGATAAGTCAAGAGAAAATCATTTTCCCCAAAGGTCTCTCTTTCCCATTTCATAAATACAGAAGCTGTGGGCCTGTTCAGACCCTGTACAAGGGTTAAAATAAAGAAACGCAGCTATGAATCAGATTCAAACATTCACATCAGCTGACAGGAAGTAACTGCAGTTCTCATGTGATCAATCGATTGGGAAGTGAGCGAACACATACTGTCGCTCGCTCACTTCTCGATCCTGTCCCTGCAGAGAGCCGTGACTGTCACTCACGGCTCCCTGCAGGAATTCCCCCCCTCCCTGCTCCGATCCTCCAGCGCTGACTGGCGGAACAGACGGGGGAGGGGGCGGGTACAGCTGCCTCTAGATAGGCAGAGCCAGCTGTCAATTACGCAGCTGGGTGGATCTCAACAGTAATGTCGGGATCCGTCCCGGCTGCTGCGGTCTCAGTATACCGCAAGCTGTAGCTTGCGGTATACTGAGCATTGGGTCACGGGAGGACGCTAGTTTATGTCCTCCCATGACCCTTAGGAGAACTATGGGGAAAACACTTACCCCATAGTTCTTCTTTAAACAACAACTTTATATTTACCCTTGCAGTGGGGCTACCCCCGTGCTGCAAGGGTTAACTGCTCGTTTCTACCTAGGGTCCAAAATAAAAAAGATATACTCAACCAAACCTTGGAGCCGGCTTGCTCCTAGACCGGTCCTTCTAGCCACACACCCCCTGCAGCAGTCTAAGGATCCGCAAGTCATCACGTTCTATACACTGTGTATTGGACGTGAGGACGCCTAGGGACATACCATCTCTGGATTGGACGAGAAGACAGGCTGGAAGAAGTGCCGTCACAGCCTGCCGGTTCCCAGGATGGGGTGAGTATTACTTTTTCTTTTTTTCAGGCCCTAGTTGAAAACGAGCAGTAAACCCTTGCAGTGCGAGGGTAGCCCCACTACAAGGGTTCATCAAAATTGTGCCACGAGTTCTTTTTTAAATAACATTAAATGAATATAACAATATAACAACAACATGCTAACTTAATATGCACCGTAAACTTAATAATGATGCCACAGAACAGAAACTTCATTGTAAGTGGCTCAATGTGCAAAATGAAGGGCATAAGTGATAAAGCAAAAACCTGCGACCAACCTACGTAACATGTATCTTACATTGCAAGAATATACTATACACTATTCATCTTCATAAATGGAATTATAAATGACAGCAGATGTGGTCAATGCGTGATTCTGAGGTTTAACACAAGTTAGGGAGTGACAGGGACTTTTCATAATGGAGAACAAATCTTCGCTCACATTAATGTGTAATTGTTACCATGTCTCTCCAGTGGCTGTAGAATTACAAGTCCTCGCTGAAGCTGTGAAGGCTCCCAGTGTCTAAAATCTATAGATAACCAAATGGATTTTTTTTTTTAGTCTTTCATAGTATTGAAATACTCAGCAGGTTATTTTATTTTTCTTGCTGTTTGTGTCTTATTGGGGTAATTTTCTATAATTTTTTGTTCTAGCGATGATACAGGAAGTTATATGCAATCTGTCAGAGAGAAGGGCATTCCCGTCCCTTCTTAAAGGAGAATTATGAGGCGAGTGATTTTCACTCAGCCTCATAATCTGAGCCGACCTGTGACAATGAAACTGTCACACGTCGGCTCAGTAGATCAGGAAGACGTCAGGTGGAGGTACAAGTCCCGGAGGAAGCCGTCAGGTGGAAGTACAAGTCCCGGAGGAAGCCGTCAGGTGGAAGTACAAGTTCTGGAGGAAGCTGTCAGGTGATCCACATCTCCATCAGGAAAGTGTTAGAGACTCTTTAATATACAATATAAATTATAACATTTTTCCTGTACATGACCAACTATTTGTGGAAGGACCAGCAGACGTCAGGACATGCTGTCACTTGTGGTTCCATAACAGCTGTGAGATGACAGGTGCACTTCACTAACATCCTCACACATCATGAATGTGTGCTTAGCACACATCTTCAGCTGTTGTGGAATTATAGGTCCCAGCAGAAGCTCTCATGTCACGCTGGGACTTGTGGTTCCACAAGATCTGGCGAGTGACAGGTCCCCATTGATACAGACCGGTCTCTAGCTGCCACTCACCACATCCCGGGCTCTGGCACTGAACGTCCCCCGGGGCCGGTTCTTCCTCAGCACATCTGTCTCTGGCAGGGACACCCCAAGCGCCTTATTGCGAGTCTTCACAGTTTTCACACTGGCTCTGAACAGCAGAGTGATGTCCGCCGCCATGTTTGCAGCGCCACGTCATCACGTGTGCAGAGGAGAAACATTTCCGCCGGGAACAAGGCACTTCACTCAGAGTTCCGAGTCCGCTGCGGCACGTGAAGGGATAGAGGCGGGGAGTGCACTGGAGTGTATGAGGAGAGCTGTACAGTCCACCACATGGCCGCTACTAGGGGATAATTTAATGCAGGGATGGGCAACCTTAGCCGTACAGCTGTTGTAACACTACAAATCCCATAATGCCTTCGTCTTTGGGAGAAATGCCTATGACTGTCAGAGTCTTGCACTCCCTCATGGGACTTGTAGTTTCACCACAGTTGGAGTGCCCAGGTTGCCTACCTGGGATCCATTGTGCTGAATTCTGTCCTTCATGCAAAATCATAGCAGCAGTACACTGAGGACGATTTATTGAAGGAAAAAAGGTAGCCAATAACAATAACAAAGAGTCATTTAAACGCTGCAGCTCTCGTACCTGTACTCCCCCCCCCACCCCATGGACCAGAGCAATTTGTACTTTTCATCTCTGGGCCTGTTCATTTCCTGATAACTTTGAAAGGAGGAAAGTCAATCTAATCACCTGCCTTTACATTTTGCCTTCCCACTCTTCTTATAGGTCATGCATACAGTTTCTAATAATTCTTACACAAATACCTATTTAAATTTTTTTCCCACAGTGATCCTGTGATCGCAAAGCCTATGGAGGGCCAAAAACACCATTGAATCCTTAGAACAGTGATGTCGCCCCACCTGCATCCATAGCTCCAAAGCGTTGTCAGTCCTGGGAGAATTCACGCCATGTAGTCACACAGACAGGAGCGCTGATCTTGGGTCACATGACTGCTTGGAAGAAAAGTAGGAAACCCTTTTGCATTGAGAATTATTATGAACTATATGCAGGAGATATAAGAGCAGAGGGAAGGCAATGTTTAGGGGTTTGTTAACACTGTGGGGGGAATTCATCAAAACTGGAGCAGATTTGCACAGCAACCAATCAGCTTCTTTGTCTTATTTTCAAATCTTACCTGAGCAAACTGAAGAGAGAAGCTGATTGGTTGCCATGGACAACTGCTCCAGATCTGTCTGCTCCAGTTTTGATAAATTCCTCCCCGTCTGTTGAGCTGCTTTTTCTGCACACCACCGCACATGTACAGTGTGAACAGGGAGCATATAAAAAAATTGTTTGAACTTTCAGCAGAAAACCTTTCTTATAAAAAAAAAAAAATGTCCGCCCCTCGTCCAATCAGAGAAGGTCTAGTATCCATTACTAAAAATACTAGCCGTTTATCAAATGGCCGCTATGCCGAGTGAGGGGAAGCACAGCGGCTGTTCCTTGATCAGGAAAATCGGTCGCTATAATGCCCTGTAGCAGCTCTGTACAGTATGTTACAGGATCCCTGCGGGCTATCCAGGTATAACATTTGTATATTTGCTTTGGGCCAAGCTGGATAAATGTATGTATATATAAATATTTATACCTGGAGTTCAGCTTTAATACCTTCAAATGGCAGATTTTGGGTAAGAGTCTTCGTCTGGTGGTCACGGTTCTCAGCTCCAAAAAACATGGGCGAATGTAAAGGACACAGAGGAGGGTTACAGCTCACATACAAAATCTACAGTGATAATGCGTTCAAACCTTTCTGGAGGGCTCAGACAGTTCAGATGTGTCTGTCAAGAATAAGCTGGGAAGTTTGGAATAGCGTAACCCTCCCTTCTATTAAAACATCAGTCCCTCCTTCACATCAGACTCCTCAGTCCCTCCTTCACATTAGACTCCTCAGTCCCTCCTTCACATTAGACTCCTCAGTCCCTCCTTCACATCAGACTCCTCAGTCCCCCTTCGCATCAGAGTCATCAGTCCCCTCTGCACATCAGACTCCTCAGTCCCCTCTGCACATCAGACTCCTCAGTCCCCCTTCACATCAGAGTCCTCAGTCCCCCTTCACATCAGACTCCTCAGTCTCCCCTTCACATCAGAGTCCTCAGTCCCCCTTC